TTGTGGCACAGGTTGAATTAGTTGAGACTCATTGAAAAACTAGAGCCAAATGTGGCATTGTTGCAGCATTTTATAGGAGGGATTATATCAAGAGAGATCCTTTCAGGAGGTCAGAAAAGTACAGCTTTTATTTCCAGCTGGGGCTCTGGAGTGGAGCTGTGTCCAAAAGCATCCAGAGCAAATGATAAAGGCGTTGACTATGGCTTTTATACCCTCCAATTGCAGGCAAACAAAGGAACATGATTCTACATACATTGACATCATTCTCCGCATCACTTTAGCATCATATGAATATCAAATTCTATCTTCCAACATACAAAAGGCATATCTCTGTGTATTGACAGGTTAGAGAGATGAATGGCCAAAACTAACAAAATGAAGTTCAACAGTGACAAATGCAAGATACTCCACTTTGGCAGGAAAAACGAAATGCAAAGATACAGAATGGGGATGAGGCCTGGCTCGAGAGCAGTACGTGTGAAAAAGATCTTGGAGTCCTCGTGGACAACAAGTTAAACATGAGCCAACAATGTGATGTGGCGGCAAAAAAGCCAATGGGATTTTGGCCTGCATCAATAGGAGCATAGTGTCTAGATCTAAGGAAGTAATGCTACCCCTATATTCTGCTTTGGTTAGACCACATCTGGAATATTGTGTCCAATTCTGGGCACCACAATTCAAGAGAGATATTGACAAGCTGGAATGTGTCCAGAGGAGGGCGACTAAAATGATCAAGGGTCTGGAGAACAAGCCCTATGAGGAGCGGCTTAAGGAGCTGGGCATGTTTAGCCTGAAGAAGATAAGGCTGAGAGGAGATATGATAGCCATGTATAAATATGTGAGAGGAAGCCACAGGGAGGAGGGAGCAAGCTTGTTTTCTGCTTCCTGGAGACTAGGACGCGGAACAATGGCTTCAAACTACAAGAGAGGAGATTCATCTGAACATGAGGAAGAACTTCCTGACTGTGAGAGCCGTTCAGCAGTGGAACTCTCTGCCCCGGAGTGTGGTGGAGGCTCCTTCTTTGGAGGCTTTTAAGCAGAGGCTGGATGGCCATCTGTCAGGGGTGATTTGAATGCAATATTCCTGCTTCTTGGCAGAATGGGGTTGGACTGGATGGCCCAGGAGGTCTCTTCCAACTCTTTGATTCTATGATTCTATGATTCTTTCTAGCAGCAGCATACATCTTACAGCTTACATTCATCAATCAAGGGGCCTACTTTGACCTGTCAGGATGGAGAGGTAGGCTCCTGTTGTACCAGTCTCTCTCTGGAATGTATAGATAACATGCCCCCCTCTTCTGGAATGTTCAACCCCCCCCCCCCTCTTGCTGTGCCTGGACAGCAGCTTGCTTGTCCTGTCAGCTTGGATTTCTGATACAGAGAAAGCCTGATTTTTCTACACATTTCAGTGCTTGTAAAGTACATACAATTTATACATATATAAATATCTATATTTCCAATATCTCCCCATCACCATAGCAGGATGATGGCTCTCCTGCAAAAAACCCAGGAACAAAAATCATAGTGTTACATAGTGATGTGTGTGTGTATATATATATATATGTATATATAGTGGTGAGCTCCCGGTGGCACAGTGGGTTAAAGCGTTGAGCTGTTGAGCTCGTTGACCAAAAGGTCACAGGTTCGAATCCGGGGAGCAGCATGAGCTTCTGCTGTCAGCCCCAGCTTCTGCCAACCTAGTAGTTCGAAAACATGCAAATGTGAGTAGATCAATAGGTACTGCTCTAGCAGGAAGGTAAGGGCGCTCCATGCAGTCATGCCTATGGCCACATGACCTTGGAGGTGTCTGTGCACAATGCCGGCTCTTTGGCTTAGAAATGGAGATGAGCACCAACCCCCAGAGTTGGACGCGACTGGACTTCATGTCAGGGGAAAGCATTTATCTTTATCAGTGTGTGTGTGTGTGTGTGTTTGCTTGTGTTGCCTGGCGCCACTGTTATTGATGCTCATTCACCCTTCCTGTGCCACAAATGAGGCCTTGTGTTTGGCATGGCTGGCTACTTCAGGATGGGACTCAGAGTCAACAAGAGCGCACAGACTGGCAACATTCCCACAAAACTTCCTTCCATCTTTATTTTATTTTGTTACCCACTTGTGTCTCAATTGCAACAGTAATCAAGGTGATGGTACGTACGTAGTATCCAAAGGAATGTGGAAATGTTGGTTGGTGCACCCTTGATCCGGACTGGGATCCCATTTGATGCAGACTGGGATCCCATTTGATGCAGACTGGGACTCCCTTTGATCTGAACTGGGATTCCTCTTGATCTGGACTGAGATGCTTTTTGATCTGAACTGGGATTCCCCTTAATGCAGACTGGGACTCCCCTTGTTGCTGACTGGGACTCCCTTTGATCTGAACTGGGACTCCCTTTGATTCAGACTGGGATTCCCCTTAATACTGACTGGGACTCCCCTTAATGCAAACTAGGATTCTCCTTAATGCAGACTGGGACTCCCTTTAATCTGAACTGGGACTCCCCTTGGTGTGGACTAGGATTCCTTTTAATGCAGACTGGGATTCCTCTTGATCTGGACGGAGATTCTTTTTGATCTGAACTGGGATTTCCCTTAATGCAGTCTGGGACTCCCTTTGGTCTGGACTGGGATTCCCCCTGATGCAGACTAGAACTCCTCATGATGCAGACTGGGGTTCCTTTTGATCCGGACTGGGACTTCCTTTGATCCTCTTTAGTGCAGACTGGGATTTATCTTCATCCAGACTGGGATTTCCCCTTGATCTGGACTGGGACTGCCCTTGCTGCAGACTGGGACTGGGGCCTGCTTCCTTCAGCCTGCCTTGCCTGGGTCTCCTTCCTTTGGCCAAGGCCCTGGCTGGCCTCCAGCCCCCTCTGGCCTCCCCTTCCTTCCTCCACTTCCGGTGGGGGAGGGGGAGGGGGAGGGGAGGAGGAAGACCCTCCCCCTTCCCCGCTTTGGCTCTTGCTTCCTGCCAGCTGCCGGAGAGGAGGGGGTCTCTCTGGGGCTGCAGCTGGAGGCCGGGGTGGCTGCTTGGGAGGGTGAGGAAGGCGGTGGAGGGGGTGGGCGTGGGGGGTGGCTGCACCAGAGACCCCTCCTCATTTCCTTCCTTTGACTCTTTGTCCAGGTTCTGCTGCTGCCTGGGCTTCCCTTCCCTTGGCTTGGGTGTCATAATGCAGAGGGGCTTCTTTCTCAATCTCTCCCCCTTTTGCTTCCATTTCAGGGCTCTGTGGCCGCAGGAGCTTCTCCTCGGAGGGATGATGATGAGGATGATGATGATGTGAAAAGGCAGGCCAAGAGGAGGAGGAGGAGGAGGAGGAGGAGGAGCCAGTGCCGCCACTGCAGGGCTGCTTCCTCTGCTTCCCGTGGGCCTTGCCTTCTCTCCGGCCTGCAGAATGGATGGGCGCCTTCCTCTCCGGCCGGAAGAGACCCCCGGGAAAGAGCCGCAGATGTGTGCCGCAGCTGTCTCCTAGGCGACGAGGGGAAGCAGAGGCCCCCTCCCTTCTGCTGCCATGAGAAGCCGCAGAATCCGCTGCTCCGGTCTGGCTGGGGGCCAAGCCAAGGCCGCCTGGGGGTCCCCGGCACGGAGAGGGGCCCGCAAGTGGCCGCCCGCCCACCTCCCTTTGGGGGAACAGGGGGCCATGGCTCCCTCCATCACGCCAAGAAGGCCGGTCGTGGAGAGGAGAGGACTCTGACAACACCTTCCTTGGCTTGGGAAGGATTGCAGACGGCCTTGGATTCGGTTGCAGAGTTTGCAAAAGACTGTGGTTTCCTTGGTTGGAGTGTTGGGTGCACTTGGACCCTGTGGCGCAAAAGGGAACCCACCGGCATCGCGGTTAGCAGGTTGGGATCTCATAGGGTGCAAGGGACACAAAGGGAACCCTTCGGCACTCCGTACCTGAGCTCCAGGTGGGACCCTTCCTCTCCTGGATAGACTCTCTCTGTGAGAGGCTGTGCTTTGCTAGGGAAGGTGGGTGCATGCGTGCCCTGCAACATAGAAGGAACCCATTGAACGCTCCATACCTGAGTTGCAGGTGCTGTTCACACTCCGTACCTGAGCTCCAGGTGGGACCCTTCTCCTCCTGGATAGACTCTCTGTGGGAGGCTGTGCTTTTCTAGGGAAGGTGGGTGCATGCATTCCCTTCAACGCTAAAGTAACCCATTGAGCACTCCGTACCTGAGTTGCAGGTGGGACCCTTCCTCTCCTGGAAAGACTCTCTCTGTGGGAGGCTGTGCTTAGCTAGGGGAGGTGGGTGCATGCATACCCTTCAACACAGAAGGAACCCATTGAGCACTTCGTACCTGAGTTGCAGGTGGGCCCCTTCCTCTCACGACAGACTCTCTCTGTGGGAGGCTGTGCTTTGCTAGGAGAGTAGGTGCATGCATGCCCTTTAATGCAAAAGGAACCCATTGAGCACTCCATACCTGAGTTGCAGGTGCTGTTCACACTCCGTACCTGAGTTGCAAGTGGGACCCTTCCTCTCCCAGGCGGACTCTCTCTGTGGGAGGCTGTGCTTTGCTAGGGCAGGTGGGTGCATGCATGCCCTGCAATACAGAAGGAGTCCATTGAGCACTCCATACCTGAGTTGCAGGTGCTATTCACACTCTGTACCTGAGTTGCAGGTGGGACCCTTTCTCTCCCAGGTGGACTCTCTCTGTGAGAGGCTGTGCTTTGCTAGGGGAGGTAGGTGCATGCATGCCCTTCAACGCAAAAGGAACCCTTTAAGCGCTGTGTACCTGAGTTGCAGGTGGGACCGTTCCTCTCCCAGGCGGACTCTCTCTGTGGGAGGCTGTGCTTTGCTAGGGAAGGTGGGTGCATGCATACCCTTCAACACAGAAGGAACCCATTGAGTGCTCCGTACCTGAGCTGCAGGTGGGAGCCTTCCTCTCCCAGACTCTCTCTGTGGGAGGCTGTGCTTTGATAGGGAAGGTGGGTGCATGCATGCCCTTCAACACAGAAGGAACCCATTGAGTGCTCCGTACCTGAGCTGCAGGTGAAAGACTTCCTCTCCCAGGTGGACTCTCTCTGTGGGAGGCTCTTCCCATCCCTTGCTTCTCAGGTGCGCCTCCTCCTCCTCCTCCTCCTCCACCATGAAGTTCTCCCTGCGCTTCTGGTTCCTTTCCACGGCCTTCCTTTTGGCCTTCGCCATGTCCCTACTCTTCACGTACTCCCACCACAGCGTGGCCTACCTGGACCCGGGCGGCCTGGGCGGCAACGGCGGTTCCCACCGGGTGAAGCTGGTGCCCAGTTACGCCGGGATGCAGCGGCTGAGCAAGGAGGGCCTCTTCGTCAAGAGCTGCGCCTGCCACCGCTGCCAGGTGGGCGCCGCGGACGCCGAGTGGTTCCGCAGCCGCTACGACGCCCGCCTCTCCCCCGTCTGGACCCGGGAGAACATGGAGCTGCCCCTGGACGTCCAGCGCTGGTGGATGGTCAGTGCCAAGCCTTGGGAGCCCGGAGACGGGCCTGTGTAGTCCACACTGCAAAAACAGTTGCCATTTAATGATCGTGAGAAAGATGAGCCAAACCAATATCATTGCAGTTTGTTTCATTCGTTAATTATTATTGTTGTGGGTTCTTGTAGGTTTTTTTGGGCTCTATGGCCATGTTCTAGAGGCATTCTCTCCTGACGTTTCACCTGCATCTAAGGCAAGCATCCTCAGAGGTAGCGAGGTCTGTTGGAATTAGGAAAATGAGTTTATATATCTGTGGAATAATGTCCAGGGTGGGACAAAGAACTCTTGTCTGCTGGAGCTAGGTGTGAATATTTCAACTGATCTCCTTGATTAGCATTTTCTGTATTGTTATTTAGCTTTTTGTCATTTAGCTTTTGGGGGCTTTTAAAGTCCCTTCTGCTGTGTTTTTCAGTGTTTTTATGAGTGAAGGACATATATTGGGTTGTTAGGTGTCTTGTGTCCAAACAGGGTGTCAATTTATCCAGTGGTTTTTGAGTTCTGTTAATCCCACAAACGAACATGACATTTTTATTTCTATAGATACTAACCGTCCCCTGCCACGCATTGCTGTGGCCCACATGGGGGTTCTGTGTGAGAGGTTTGGCCCAATTCTATCGTTGGTGGGGTTCAGAATGCTCTGTGGTTGTAGGTGAACTATAAATCCCAGCAACTACAACTCCCAAATGACAAAATCAATTTTTTTGAGTGAAGGACATACATTGGGTTGTTAGGTGCCTTGTGTCCAAATTTGGTGTCAATTTGTCCAGTGGTTTTTGAGTTCTGTGAATCCCACAAATGAACATTATATTTTTATTTATATAGATATCTATAAGTTTCAGACAGCCTAGCAGTGGTTCCCAACCTTGTTTTGACCAGGGACCACATTGACCAAGGCCCACTTGACCAGGGACCAAAAGGGGCGGGGCTGGTCAGCTTGGCGAAAAGGCACAGAAATCACATCAAATCAAATTAAATGAAGAGGAAGGAGGTTCGAGAGTCCGATTTTAATTCTCATGGCCCACTGCTGGGCTGCGGCCCACAGGTTGAGAACCACTGGTGTGTGTGTGTGTGTGTGTGTGTGTGTACTAGCTGTACCTGCCATGTGTTGCTGTGGCAAACCTTCCCTCCCTCATTCTCCACCTTCTTTTTCTCTCTCCTTCCTTCCTTCCTTCCCTCCCTCTTTCCTTCTTTCCCTCTTTTTCTTTCCCTTCTTCTTTCTTCCTTCTCTACCTGTTTCTTTTCTTGCTTCCTTTGCTGTTTGGTTTCATCCTTCCTTGGCTCTTTCCTTCCTTCCTTTCTTCCCTCTTTCGGGGGAAGCTGGGAAATGGAGTCCTTCCTCATCGTATTCCTCCCGAGGCCTCTGCCCATGCTCTGTGTTTTTTGGGTATTGTGCGTTTGTGTTGTTGCGTATTGGTGTTTTGAGGGTTGTTGGTCATACCTTGGGGGAAGAGGCATTAGCAGGGCAAATGTGGTGAGATTTCGTCCAGTGGTTTAGCAGTTTTTGACCGCTTAATTACGACCTTAAGGTTCTTATATATATAGATGGCTGTAGTTACACTTCAGAATGTACCTGTCCTGACTTCCAAACCAGTTCACCTGAAGGCCAACCTGCGGAGCCTCTCTTGCCTGGAACGGCCAGCGTGCCAGTCCTGGAGGAGCTCTCCAAGGTGCTGAAGCTTCACCTGGAAGGAGGCTCTGGTGCTGGAGAGCGCCTGGACAGCTGCATGGAACTCGTCCAGAGCAACAATCAGTTTCCTAGTAGTGGGGCCAACAAAAGGCGGAGGCCATGTTTGTGCCCCCAGGACGCAAAAGAGCCCCTGTCTTTTCAAGGAAGGGCTTTTCTAAAGGAGTGTTGGGTTTTAGATGGGAAGCTGTGTGTCCTAAACCGGTTTCAGATGTGGGGAAAGTATGTCTTTTGCTTCTTTGCTTTGCGTTTTGTGATTCTGGTTTGATGTTTGTATATTTGTAGATGCTAAATGGTATGGAAATGCTTTTAATGGAACCTGCGAGGTCTAAATACACATAATGATGGTGGTGGTGGTGGTGGTGATGATGATGATGATGATGATGGGGGCCCTCGTTGGCTTTGCTTGCTTCCCCAGATGCTGCAGCCGCAGTTCAAGTCCCACAACCTGAACGAGGTCCTGAGCAAACTCTTCCTGATCATCCCCGGAGAGAACCCCTACCGCTCCCGGCCGTCCCCACAGTGCCGGCGCTGCGCCGTCGTCGGGAACTCGGGGAACCTGCGCGGTTCCGGATACGGCCGGGAGATCAACGGACACGACTTCGTCATGCGGTACGTGTAGTGTGGAAGGGGGCCAGGCAGGGGCCATAGAACCATGGAGTCAGAAGGGACCTCTATATGCATACACATACACACATATACATACACACACATATATATATACACACAGAGATATATATACGTATATGTGTGTGTGTGTGTGTGTGTATATATATAGTGTGTATGTGTGTGTATATATATACACACACACATATTCACACACATTTACAGACACATACATACATATTCATAGTGTATATATGTTGTCCATACACATATTTACATATACCTATATACATACATGTCCACATGTGCATACACACATACACGTATATTCATACACATATACATATAAATATTATGCAGATGCATATATACATATACACACATATATATACACATAAACATACACACATACGCATACACATCTACATATACACATTCACATACACACATACAATATATCAATCAGTCAATTATATTGATTAGCCCTTAGGCCATATCACAATACCAAACCAAACAACAACAAGGCTTGATAAGACTTGATTATGCTCAACATATGTAGTAACTTAAAATAAGACATTTAAAACAATACAGCAAATAAATATGATAAAACTGAATATATACATCGTATTTCCTTATCACCCCTGCATATATGCATGCACATATATTCACATACATACACCTATAAACATACACACATACAGATATACACATACTTGGATGTGTAAATATGAGGTTGCTGCGCCCAGAGACTCTCAATAATAATAATAATAATAATAATAATAATAATAATAATAATCCAGTAAAGGTGGTTCCAGTGGTGATCGACACACTGGGTGCAGTGCCTCAAGACCTTGGCCTGCACTTAAACACAATTGGGGCTGACAAGATTACCATCTGCCAGCTGCAAAAGGCCACCTGACTGGGATCTGCATGCATTATTCGCCGATACATCACACAGTCCTAGACACTTGGGAAGTGTCCATTGTGTCTGCCTCATCTTGTTGTGTTTCTAATAATAATAATAATAATTATAATTATAGCAATAGTAATAGTTGTATTTCTTGCCCGCCTCCCCTTCCATCCTTTTCCTGCAGGATGAACCAGGCCCCGACGGTGGGCTTTGAGGTGGACGTGGGGAGCCGGACCACCCACCACTTCATGTACCCTGAAAGTGCCAAAAACCTTCCGGCCAACGTGAGCTTCGTCCTGGTCCCCTTCAAAGCCCTGGACCTGCTCTGGATCGCCAGCGCCCTCTCCACTGGCCAGATACGCTTGTATGTCTTTGGGCAAGGCGGGGGCAGGCCGGGGGGGGGGAGAGACACACATGACATGTAAGAACGGAGCTAAGAGCCAGGAGGGAGAGGAAATCTGGAGGGAGGAGGGAGCGAAAAGGAGCAAGAGCGAGTTCAAGAATGTGGGTAGGGAAGGTAACCAAAGCATCGTGTGTAGAAGGTCAGGAAAGGCTGGCGTGAAGAGAGACGAGCTCGAAGAAGATATGAGCGGGATGCAAGGAAGCACGTCACATACATAAAAAGAGAAAACAAAAGAGAGAAAAATGCCAGCAAAGAGAAAAAAAATAGGACAAGTGCAAAGAAGCCAGAATGGATGTCCAAAGAACTTCTAACTGTGCTAAAACACAAAAGAGACATGCACAAGAAGTGGAAAAAGGGAGAAATCACCAAAGAAGAATTCAAACAAATAGCCAACACCTGTAGGGAAAAGGTCCGCAAGGCTAAAGCAGAAAACGAGCTCAGGCTTGCCAGGGACATTAAAAACAATAAAAGGGGCTGCTTTTCTTATGTCAGTAGAAAAAAGGAAAAACAAAGAAGCGATAGGGTCTCTTCGAGGAAAAGATGGGGCAATGCTGACAGGGGATGATAGGAAAAAGACCCCCTGTGAGAGCCGTTCAGCAGTGGAACTCTCTGCCCCAGAGTGTGGTGGAGGCTCCTTCTTTGGAAGCTTTTAAACAGGCTGGATGGCCATCTGTCAGGAGTGATTTGAATGCAATATTCCTGCTTCTTGGCAGAATGGGGTTGGACTGGATGGTGGCCCAGGAGGTCTCTTCCAACTCTTTGATTCTATGATTCTATGGAAAGGGAACAAAACATAAGGGAAGGTCGTTTTGAGATATTCGTTTCACATTGGGTGGTGCCAGAAGTCACGGGTGCGGGGTCCAGGGGAGTGCCATGCCTGTATTACGTGTATGTGATTCTCTTTTCCATTCTATATGTCGCTAACACACTTAGCAAAAGTGGCTGAGCTCCTTGGGTGCCTCATTCTGTTCTCCTCTCTTACGCAGCACTTACGCCCCAGTGAAGCCCTTCCTCCGGGTGGACAAAGAGCGGGTAAGGCTCCTCGCACCAGGGAAGGGGAGAGGAGGGGTCCCTGCGGAGAGGAGGGGTCTGCATTCACCCGGCCTTCCCCTCCGCCCGCACTGTCTGTCTTCCAGGTCCAGATCTACAACCCGGCTTTCTTCAAGTACATCCACGACCGCTGGACGGAGCACCATGGGCGCTACCCCTCCACGGGCATGCTGGTGCTCTTCTTCGCCCTGCACGTCTGCGACGAGGTCAGCCTTCTTGTTGTTGTGGTCGTCCTTGCTTTAAGACATTGTGTTCGGGAGGAAGTGTGCAATAGGACTTCCAGTTCCCTGTTTCTTAATTATCCAATCTTCTATGTTTCTATGTATCCTATACTTGCTTTTCTATTTATTGAGTTGCTGTGAGTGATCCGTGATCCAGCAGCATTCTCTCCTGACATTTCGCCCACATCTATGTCAGGCATCCTCAGAGGTTGGGAGGTCTGTTGGGAACTAGGCTAGGGGGGTTTAATATATCTGTGGAATGATATTATTGCTTATGTTTTTAATTTGCTTTGCATTGTATTGTTATTGTCTGTTGTTGTTGTGTTGAGGCCTTGGCCTTTGTAAGCCGCATCGAGTCCTTCGGGAGATGCTAGCGGGGTACAAATCAAGTTTAATAATAATAATAATTAATAATTATAATAATAATAATGTCCACAGGAAGGGTGAGGGAAGAACTCTTGTCTGCTTGAGGCAAGTGTGAATGTTGCAACTGGCCACCTTGATTGGCATTTAATGGCCTTGCAGCTTCAAAGCCTGACTGCTAACTGCCAGAGGGAATCCTTTGTTGGGAGCTGTTAGCTGCCCCTGATGGTTTCCTACCTGGAATTCCCTGTTTTCTGAGTGTTGCTCTTTATTTACTCTCCTGATTTTAGAGTTTCTAAATACTGGTAACCAAATTGTGTTCATTTTCATGCTTTCCACTTTTCTGTTGAAATTGTCCACATTTCCAGTATTTTCTGTGTGCCAAGTGTGGTTCAATTCCATCGTTGGTGGAATTGAACCACACAAGACCAATGCCCACCAAATCCTTCCAGTATTTTCTCTTGGTCACGGGAGTTCTGTGTGGGAAGTTTGACTCAATTCCATCGTTGGTGGAGTTCAGAACACTCTTTGAATGTAGGTGAACTATAAATCCCAGCAACTACAACTCCCAAATGACAAAATCAATCCCCCCACAACCTGACCAGTATTCAAATTTGGGTGTTTTGGGTATTTGTGCCAAATTTGGTCCAGTGAATGAAAATACATCCTACATATTGAATGTTTACATGACGATTCATAAGAGTAGCAAAATGATAGTTATGAAGTAGGAAAGAAAATAATGTGATGGTTGGGGGTCACCAGAACAGGAGGGACTGTATTAAGGGGTCGCGGTATTAGGAAGGTTGAGAACCACTGTATGGGAAGGCATCCCTGCTTGGGCCGGGAGCTGTTGCCGCATCCTGAGGAGGGCCTCTCGCTCTTTCTGGCTGCCGATCCAATTCGGAGCACAATTGAGAGTGCTGGTGTTGACCTATAAAACCCTATATGGCTCCTGTCCGAACGTATCTCCTTCTACGTCCCACCTCGGAGCTTAAGATCCTCTGGGGAGGCCCTGCTCTTGGCCCCGCCTTTGTCTCAAACACACTTGGCGGGGACGAGGGACAGGGCCTTCTCGGTGGTGGCTCCCCACTTGTGGAATTCACTTCCTGGGGAAATTAGATCATCGTCATCCCTCCTCACCTTCAGAAAGAAGCTAAAATCGTAGTTGTGGGATCAGGCTTTGGGCAATTAGGTTAAAGGACAATGGATAATGTTTGACTATGGCTTTGGAAGTGGATTTGGATAGGTTAAGTATATGGCTGGATAAATAGCCACCAGACTGGCAATAGCTAAATGGATTGTAAGTATGCTGTTCAATTTTTATTTTAATGTTCATGGTTTTAATTGCTATTTTTGCTCTTTTGTATTTTGTGATGCGGCATTGGATTGTTGCCAATTGTAAGCCGCCCTGAGTCCCCGTCCCCCCCCCTCAGGGGTTGAGAAGGGCGGGGTAAAAATACCTGAAATAAATCAATAAATCAATAAATACATAAATAAAATGTCCTCCTTTGCAGGTGAATGTCTTTGGCTTTGGGGCCGACAGCCGGGGCAACTGGCACCATTACTGGGAGAACAACCGCTACGCGGGGGAGTTCCGCAAGACCGGGGTGCACGACGCCGACTTCGAGGCCCACGTGGTGGGCGTCCTGGAGAAGGTCGGCAAGATCGACGTCTACCGCGGCAACTGAGCCACTTCCGCGCCTTCGACCGAAAGATCTCCCTTGCTCGGAGGGAAAGTTGACACGGGGCAGAGCACTCGGAGCGCGTTTGCCGACGGAAAAGGTCTCGACAGAGACGGACGAAGCGCCTTTCCCTTCTCCGAGGAAGGTGTCCGGAAAGCAAGAAGAGGATTCAAGAGCAGCCTCCACGGAACGGGAAGCTCCGCCCGGCTTCCCGAAGGAATCCCCAAAGGCCTCCTTGGCCTGAATGTGAACCTGAGACCTCAACGGACCTCTCTGGTTTGTATGGACAAGGCAAAGTCAGCCACAACAGCCACGTTTTTGTGGATACGGAAGTCCCCTTTGGTTCCCCTTTTTGTATTTTCAAGGCAGAGGATCGCCTTGAGTTTTGCAATCATGGAGGAGATGATCATGGAAACTCATGGACCTTGACGTCCAGCAGCGGATGAAGGGTGGACGCTGGCCATTCAGTGATGAATGGACACTCCACCCTCCTTGCTATGAGACCTGAGTGTCCCTATGGGGAGCGGGGTGGCCGTGGCAATGGCACTCGGGTGGTGTAGCCAATGCCTTCCCTCTCTCTCTTACTTCTTTCCCTTCCTTCCTTCCTTCCTTCCTTCCTTCCCTTCTAACTTCCTCCCTCCCTCCCTCCCTTCCCCCTTCCTTCCTCCCTCCCTTCCTAACTTCCTAATTTCCTTCCTTCTTTCCTGCCTCTCTTCCTTCCCTCCTTCTTCCTTCCTTCCTTCCTTCCTTCCTTCCTTCCTTCCTTCCTTCCCTTCTAACTTCTTCCCTCCCTTCCTTCCCCCTTCCTTCCTCCCTCCCTTCCTAACTTTCTAATTTCCTTCCTTCTTTCCTGCCTCTCTTCCTTCCCTCCTTCCTTCCTTCCTTCCTTCCTTCCTTCCTTCCTTCCTTCCTTCCTTCCTTCCCTTCTAACTTCTTCCCTCCCTTCCTTCCCCCTTCCTTCCTTCCTCCCTCCCTTCCTAACTTTCTAATTTCCTTCCTTCCTTCCTGCCTCTCTTCCTTCCCTCCTAACTTCCTTCCTTCTTTCCTTCCTTCCTTCCCTTCTAACTTCCTCCCTCCCTCCCTCCCTTCCCCCTCCCTCCCTCCCTTCCTAACTTCCTAATTTCTTTCCTTCTTACCTCGCTTCCTTCCTATTCCTTCCTTCCTTCCTTCCTTCTTCCTCCTTCCTTCCTTCCTTCCTTCCTTCCTTCCTTCCTTCCTCCCTCCCTCCCTCCCTCCCTCCCTCCCTCCCTTCTCTCGTTCCTGCTCCTGGGACTGGGGACATCAGGGTGAGGATGACCCATCTGTTTTGGCCCCGCTCCAAAACCAACCTCCACCTTCCTTCCTCCTGGCGCATTACTCCCATTGTGGGAGGTGGAAGGAGCCCCCCCGCCTGCTCCAAACAAGGCCAGCGCTCTTGGGAACGGCGGAAACCGTTTCCTCCCCCAGAAAGGAGAAGAGTGCCTGGACTCCAGAGAAGATGTCTTGCTTGCCTGTCTTGTTGGACCCTTGGCTTGGCCCCTTATGTTGGACGTGTCCGTTCCCTTTCTGATGATGTGAGAAATGCTGATAGGAGCCGGTGAGAAGGGAGCCATGGCCGGGACAGATGGGCACCACGTTCCTGTGGGGTCTTCCCTTCTTTGTGTTGCATTCATCGCCCTCGTGGGGGGGGGGGGGGGGGGGAACGAGAAGGCAAGGCCACCGTGGACTCCTTCCTTTTTGTACCTGGGAAGACCAGGTTGGGCAAAGGGCTCTTGGCTCTCCTCCAAAAGTGCAATCATGCCAAATGGGATCGAACCCATCTCCCCTCCTTTGTCATTATGGAATCATTGCCCTACCTTGAGTAAGTTGGGTTGCCGGGAGGGAGGGGGGGGGAGGTCCTGCAGATGACCAGAAGGACCTTCTTGCAGCAGGGACTTGGTGGGTTGTCCCCTTCCTTCCTCCTTCCCTCCCTCCCTCCCTCCCTCCCTCCCTCCCTCCCTAACTTCCTAATTTCCTTCCATCTTTCCTTCCTTTCCCCCTTCCTTCCCTCCTAACTTCCTTCCTTCCTCCCTTCCTTCCTCCCTTCCTTCTTTCCGTCTTTCCTTCCTAACTTTCTACCTTCCTTCCTCTCCCATGTCTCTTCCCATTATTGTCTCTGAAACATAGGAGAAGGAAGTTGGGCTTCTCCTGGCACCCTTCTCATGCCTGAGGATGAGTGGGACCCTTCTCTTAATGCAGCTCCAAACATTCTCTCCAAATGGAAGGAAGGAAGGAAGGAAGGGAAGAAAGAAGAAGGGAGGGAGGGAGGGAAGGAAGGAAACAAAGAGGGAGGGAGGGAGGGAGGGAAGGAAGGAAGGATGGATGGATGGAAGGAAAGAGGGAGGGAGGGAAGGAAGGAAGGAAGGAAGATCTGTCTGTCCCGTGACCTTGCATGTGAGACCAGATTTCCAAAACTGAGCCGGGATCTTCGAAATGGCTTTGACTGTGCAGACGTCTGCCTTGGGCTCTGCTCTCCACTCACTGCTCCGAATGTGTCTCTTGGCCGGGTGCTTCCCCATTGCAGGCTTCCCACCCCTGTCCCTTCCTCAGTTTCCCCTCTCACTGATGTCTGGGGCCCATTGCAGGAGGAAAGGGACCTTTCTGTTTGGAGAAAGGGCCGGCTTTGTCCACTCTGTCCTCCCCCCATGACCCTTGGAGCCCCTCCTGACCCCCTCCCTCCAAGATGGGCATGGCCTACGCCTGGGTCTTGCCATTTCTGTATGGGAGAAGCCCACCCGCTGTGGCTGGAGCTAGAGCTGGGGGGCATGCAGGGGCGGCTCGTCCATTACGCGAAGTAAGCGGTCGCAGAACACTTTTTTTTGCCAGGGGCGCAAGAGGCGCCTTTGTAAATGCCCCTCAACGACAACTTGAGGAGCTCCCCTCGGTTCACAACAGCCCTGGCAGTCCGGGGGGAGCCTCGGCTTCCTTGCCTCACTGCCGGGTGATCCTCTTCCCAAAGGGGCCGGGCCCTTGAGCCTCGCCTAGCCCCTCTCGTTCCTGCTCCATATCAATGATTGGTTGGGGGGGGGGGGGCCAAAATACTGTTTGCTTACTGTTGAAAATTACCTAGGGCCGCCTCTGGGGACATGCCACACGCATGTGCTGTGAGGCAGCAAAGCCAGAGACACAGAGAGAGGAGTCCAAAGAGCCAGAGAAGAGTTCGGAAACAGGGGGGGGGGGGGGCTTTCCGGAAAACAGAGAGAGAGTGGGGGGAGCGCAAGCAGGCACCAGAAGAACTGGTAAGAGGGAACAGAATGCCGAACTCTGTGCATGCTCAAAAAGCTCTGCCGATACAAAGAGCCAAGTTGCATCTCTTTTGGTCGCCCAATGGCTTTGCTTTGCCAATTAGATCTATTGTATGATGATGGCAAGCATCATCCTCAGCAGGGCGGGCTTCTCTCGCAGGGCTGGGAGGGGGCTTGCCGTGGCCGCGCTTACAGGGCTCTTTTCCTTCTCCTCCTTCCTCTTCTGCCTCTCCTTCTCCTCTTTCTTCTTCCTTTTTTCTTCTCCTTCTCTTCCTCCTCCCTTCTTATTCTTCCTCTTCTTTCTTCTTCTCCCCCTCCTTCATTTTTCCTCTTCTTCTCCTTCTTCATCCCTTTCTCCTCCTCTTCTCTTTGCTCTTCATCCTCTTTTTCTCCTATTCTCCTCCTTTTCCTTCCTCTTCTGCCTTTTCTCCTCCTTCTTCCTCTTCCTTCTTCTCCCCCTTCTTCCTCATTCTTTTTCCTCCTCCTCTCCTCCTCCTTTCTTCCTGTTCTTCTCCTCCCAACCTCTTTTTCTCCTTCCTCTTCCTTATTGTCCTTTTTCTTCCTCTCCTCCTCCTCCTCCTCTTTTCTCCTCCTACTCTTCCTTTTTCTCCTTCCTCTTCCTTCTTCTTCTCCCCTCCTTCTTATTTTTTCCTTTTCTTCTCCATTCTCCATCCCTTCCTCCTCTTCTCCTCCTTCTCCTCTTTTTCTCCCTTCCTCCTTTCTCCTTTTCTTCTCCCCCTTCCTCATTCTTCTTCTCCTCCTCCTTTCTTCCTGTTCTTCTCCTCCCATCTTCTTTTTCTCCTTCCTCTTCCTTCTCTTTCTTCCTCTGCTTCTCTTTTTCTTCCTGTTCCCCTCCTTTTTTTCTCTTTCCTCTTCCTTCTCTTTCTTCCTCTTCTTCTCCTTTTCTTCCTGTTCTCCTCCTCCTCCTCCTCTTTTCCTTCTTCTTCCTCTCCCCCTTTTCCTCCATAGGACTTCATGCCCTCCTTGCAGCCAAGCGTCCTGCATTCTTTATGGTCAGTATTCCCTCCCCTTGCGCGCCTCCCTCCTTCCTCCCTCCCTTCTTCCTCCTTCCTTCCTCCTTCCTTCCTTCCCTTTTCTACTTTTGGACTTCCTTGGCTTCTACACTTGAGGGGAAACTGGATCTATTTTGTGTTTGATTGTACAAAATAACATTTTAAAACCTGTCCCTTTGTCCCTCGTGTCGGCTTCTGTGGCGTCGAGGGGGGGGCGTGGGGTCGGCACAGCCGGGCGCGTGGGCCAAGCGCAGCAGGTTAAACCGCTGAGCTGCTGGACTTGCTGACCGAAAGGTTGGCAGTTCGAATCCCGGGAGTGGGATGAGCTGCCAGTGTTAGGCCCACAGTTGTTGGACACCACGAGACTTAATGTCGGGGAAATGTTGGACAGATGGCAAGCTGTTTAACCTCAGCAGACTGAAAGCCAAAACCAAGGTCACAACAACATCTGTTATAGAACTCCAGTATGCTGATGACAATGTCGTCTGTGCGCATTCAGAAGAAGATCTACAAGCCACTCTAAACACCTTTGCAGAAGCATACGAGAAGCTCGGCCTGTCATTGAACATCGAGAAAACCAAAGTGCTCTTCCAGCAGACACCAGCCAACCCCTCTGCAATGCCAGAGATACAGCTTAATGATGTCACATTAGAAAATGTGGACCATTTCCGCTCCCTTGGCAGCCACCTCTCCACCAAAGTCAACATCAACACTGAAATACAACACCGCCTGAGCTCTGCAAGTGCAGCATTTTTCCGAATGAAGCAGAGAGTGTTTGAGGACCGGGACATCCTTAGGGATACCAAGGTGCTTGTCTATAAAGCTGTCCTCCCAACCCTGCTTTACGCCTGCGAGACGTGGACTGTCTACAGATGTCACATGCACCTCCTGGAACGATTCCATCAGCGCTGCCTCCAGAAAATCCTGCAAATCTCTTGGGAAGACAGATGGACAACCGTCAGTGTGCTGGAAGAAGCAAAGACCACCAGCATTGAAGCGATGGCCCTCCACCATCAACTCTGCTGGGCCGGCCACGTTGTCCAGATGCCTGACCACCGTCTCCCAAAGCAGTTGCTCTACTCTGAATTCAAGAACGGAAAATGGAATGTTTGAGGACAGGAAAAGAGATTTAAAGATGGGCTCAATCCAACCTTAAAATCTCTGGCACAGACACTGAGAACTGGGAAGCCCTGGCCCTTGACCACTCCAGCTGGAGGTCAGCTGTGACCAGCAGTGCTGCAGAATTCGAGGAGGCACGAATGGAGGGTGAAAGAGAGAATCGTGCCAAGAGGAAGATGCATCAAGCCAACCCTGACCGGGACCGCCTTCCACCTGGAAACCAATGCCTTCACTGTGGGAGAAGATGCAGGTCATGGAAGACCATCTTACTCGTCCAACGAGGGATCGCCTAAGTAAGTAAGTAAGTAGGCCCAGAGTTGTTGGACACGACTAGACTTAATGT